CCACCACCACAAACAGCAGCAGCAGCAGCAGCAGCAGCCTTCGGCCGGTTGTGCTGCTGCTGCAGTGGCTGCAGGCCCCCAGTTGGGGGCCCCCAGGGGCCCCCCACTGCAGGGTCAAGAAGGGCCTTCAAGGGGGGCCCCCAATGAGGGCTCAGCTAGCCAGCCCTTAGAAACAGCTAGCCAGCTAGCTGTCCCGCAGGAGGCCCTCGGGGGGCCCCTTGGGGTGCCCCTCGGGGGGTCCCCTGGGGGGCCCCTTGGGGGCCCCCTTGGGGGTCCCCTTGAGGGGCCCCTAAGGGGGCCCTCTGGGGGGCCCCTTGAGGAGCTCCGTGCTGCGGGCTGCGGGAGGGGGGCCCCCGGGGGGCCCCCCTGCATGCAGCAGAAGATGGAAAGTCCTGGGGAGCTGCTGGGTTCTTCTTTTGTGGTTTTGCTGCAGCGGCCTTTGCTGCTGCAGGAGGCCCTTGCCACGCGGGCCCTGCTGCTGCTGCTGCTACGGGACGGAAGCCTGCAGGGGCTGCTGAGGCAGCTGAAGCGCGTAAGCTGCTGCTGCTGCTGCTGCTGCTCTTGCTGCTGCTGCGCTGGCTGCTGCGGCTGCGCGTCAGTGCTGCTGCACTGCTGATAGTGCTGCTGCCGGCTGAGGTGACACAAAAGCAGGAGCATCCCGTGCTGCTGTGGGGCGTCTGCTACTCTTGCTGCTGCTGCTGCTGTTGCTGTTGCTGCTGCTGCAGCTGATGCTGTTCGGCTCGACACACGTCGTGCAGGAGTTCCGGGTGCTGCTGCTGCAGCGGCTGCAGCAGCATGCAGCAGAGCAGCAGCAGCAGACTTGTGGGAGCCGCATTGTGAATTTGCCGTCAGACAGTGCAGCAGCAGAAGCAGATCTCCCTGCTGCTGCTCCTGCTGCTGCTGCTGCTGCTGCTGCTCAGGGATCCCTCTGCAGCGACGTGGAGCAGCTGCTGCAGGGGGCTCTGGGAGCGCTGCCAAGCAGCAGCACAGCAGCCCAGCAGCAGCAGCAGCAAAAGCAGCAGGTTTTGCATTTCACTTGCAGCATGCAGTCAAGCGTAGCAGCCGTGACACAACCAGCAGCAGCAGCAGCAACAGCAGCAGCAGCAGCAGCAGCAGAGGCAGCAGTGCTGCTGAGCGGTCTTCGTATACTGCCTGAAGCCGCTCCGCCTCTGCAGCTATTTCTGACCCCGGTAATCTCCAAACCCTAAACCCTAAACCCTAGAAAGGCTCCCACAAGCTTGCGTTGACTCAATACTGCCATCGACAACTCCGCAGCAGCAAAACTCAGTCTAACAACTTGGTTCTAAGAACCGCCAATTTAGGGTTCAGGGTCTAGGGTTTAGGGTTTAGGGTTTAGGGTTTAGGGGTGTTTGCAGCCTGTGCAAGAAAGATACTCCTCCATTTTTGTTTTTCTTCTTCGTCTCGACGCGGCCCTGGCAGCGCTGGCCGACTGCTGGGTGCTGCGTCGACAGCAGCAGCAGCAGCAGCAGCAGCAGCAGCAGCAATTTGCTGCTAGAGCAGCCCAGCTGCAGCAAAGGCTGCAGCACTTTCTGCGGGCCGTTTTCGATTTTGCACTCACTGACGCCATCGAAGCAGAATGGACAGGCTTTCAGGGACACGTAGCAGCAGCAGCAGCAGCAGCAGCAGCAGGGGAAACCGGAGCAGCAGCAGCAGCAGCAGCAAGAAAAAATAGCCTGAGCTTCTTTGCGCTCGTTGAGGCCCACGCCCGTTGTGCAGAAAATGTTTACACCAGGTCGGTGAGACGAAGCGTGACTGCAACAGCAGCAGCAACAGTAGCAGCAGCAGCAGCAGCAGCAGCAACCGCAACAACAACAATAAC